GTGACTGCCACTCACGGCTCCCTGCAGGAATTCCCCCCCCCCCCCCCCCCCCCCTCCTCCCCCACCCTGAAGTGTGACGCTCATGTTTTTCGGGTGATCATACCTTCGTGATGGACCACAACACCTCCCACCTGAAGAAGCAACTACAGTGAAAAGATTTTACACTTTGATGCACTGCATTTTGGGATGATGGATTGACGATTGTAACACAAGAGATAGGAGAATCTTTTTTAGCATCGGTCTTCACATAGAGACTATTTGGTTTATAGGAGGTGGTCTGCTCTATACACGAAGGATGTTTTACCTATGTGGATGCTGTTTTAAAAGGACTAATTAAATATGTAATGCTTTACGAATTGATTATAGAAGTCTTTTTAAATACCGGGAAAACCCCAAACTGCCTTTTTCCCTGATGTAATATCAGTGATCTGATACATTTTAGTTAATCTGTACTATAGAAGCGTGTTCCTGTAATATCTGAAATGCACTGCAAGTCCATAAGCCATGCTCAATGGGAGTCATTAAAGTTCCAAATTGTTCATTTCTTTTTTTTCAAGCCATAATAAGAGATGGAATTTTTTGCCTGTTTAACAACCCTTTTAGGAAAAGAGATACAATACCCAATAAGCAAAGTAAGCTTTAGTTGGTAATAAAGAACAACAAACATAAAAGCAGACTAATAAATGCTTTTAAAAACCTTGTGGGTTAGCTCCCAGGAAGACATCTTCAAAATTCATTTTCGGCATGTATGACAGTGACTGAATATAGTTCCGTGCCTGGAATTGGCAGAGAAAAGGTAGAGAAAAGGACCAATTAACACAGACTAACTCAGACATTTAATCTAAAATGTAAGTTTCAAATTAAATGTTTTATGTATTTAAAAGGGCCTCATGGCTGCTCTTGCCTCTAAATCAGTAAAATTACTTTGCAATCCCATGACAAACTATGTCAACCACAGCAAGTGACATCATGCATTGTAAGTGGATTAAAACATGAATGTAAAAACCAGCTTACAGTTTAAAAAGCAACTGCAGTCAAGTATAATCCTTCAGTGATCTTCTATCTGAGAAACAAAAAGTCTACCCAACCTTGAATCCTGAATAACTTTTTGGAGCCAGATTGATCAGGTTTATCAGTTTGTGTATTGTGGTGTCTTGTGATAAAAAAAAAACATTTTTAACCACTTGCTGACCGGGGTGTTTACACCCCCTTCCTGTCCAGGCCATTTTTCAGTATTCAGCGCTGCGTTACTTTGACTGAAGTTTATTCCATCATGCAGCGCTGTACCGAAATGAATTTTATACCTTTTTTTGGGGACAGATAGAGCTTTCTTTTGGTGGTATTTAATCACCACTACGGGTTTTTATTTTTTACTATATAACAAAGAAAGTACAGAATATTTTTTTTTAAACGGTTTTCCCTTTATTATGTTAGGAAACATTTATTATTACCCAATTTTTTGGTGAAATATAAATGACGGGGTCACGTGACCAAACATGTCAACCCTTAAAATTGCGCGCGCCCGCGAAATCGCAAAAAACTACCATAGCCAAAATTGGCCATAGGCTACGTTTTAAAAGATTTTACTGCTCATCAGTTTAGTGTTATCAGTGATTGATGGCCCTAAAATTATTGCTCTCACTGCGACGTTCGCTGCGATATGTAACATGTGCGGCGTAATTGGAGCAATCGTCGTTTTTGCGTGTAGGCGCACCGAATGCATTTTTGCGCATCTATGTGGGGGTGGGGGACTTTAGAAAAATTTGTTTTTTTTTTAGTGTGCGTGTAAATTTTATTTATTTTATGAGCAATTTGTTTTTTATTTACTATTGTAATGTATGTGATACTATTTGTTATCACATAGGGGATAAGAAGTCCCCTATGTGATAAATTACAGTGACAGGTCCCCTTTATGGAGACATCAGGGGTCTCTAAGACCCCTGTCACCTAGGGACCCCCAAAGAAGCTGATGAAGCACAGATCTGCTTCATCAGCTTCTCTCTGGTTACTGTACCGGAGAGTGACAAAGGAATGCGGAAGTGATGTAATATACATCACTTCCTGCATTCAGAGACCGGTGAGGAGGGCGGAGGGAGATCGTGTACTGAGCTCCCTCCGTTCTCAGTGCACAGAGTCACATCGCCCGAGATCGCTGGACGGGGGCAAGGAGAGGCATCATACAAGCGATCGGGCGTCTGTACAGACGCCAGACCACTTGTATGTAAACGGCCATCGCTGGCTGTTTAAAATACTGGAGGTTTCCCACTCGTGCGTGCCAGGTGGCGCACGCAGGCACGAAGGACGTCTAAAGACGCCCACACGCATCCAGGAGACTCGACGTCTTTAAACGTTCGGCGGACGGGAGGTGGTTAAGACATGTCACCTATAATTACGTTTCTGAATTTATCAAGAACTACTGTGATTTAGTCTAGCAAAGGGAAAATTATATTCAACAAGTCTGCACACTAGAAGGTGATACAAGCCAATTTGTGCTTGGTTGCAGTGATTACACCACACCATGTGCTTGGATAACGTTATCTACACAGTCCCACACCCCCAG